GTAAGGGACTTTTTATTTAAGTTGGAAAAGTACAAATCGCATTCTAAGTTTTACTCCAAAGGACCAAATGGCCTATATCTAACAAAAGAGCATTTAAAAATGAACGTTTATTAATTAAGACACACCTCACTCATTCTGAGGGTTTCTTTGGAATCTTCTTCAGCTTGCTGTTTCTTTTTAGAATTCTCTTCAACATTCCTACATGGGGGAAAAAGTCAAATATGAACTTGGAATCAAATGTAACAAATTTTCAGGAAGGTTAAAAAAAAAAAAAAAGCTTAGCTTTCCGTTCTCGATAAACACTTGACCCATAAATAGAGACTTGTTACATTTCAGCTGAAATCCTATTCTTAGTGAACAGAGAACACAATCCCAAATGTGACATGGAGTACCGCTGGTGTTAAAGAAAATCATACTTGAAACAAAAATTCCTGAATTGTTGCTCTAAACAAAACAGCTGAGCTATGATGACATGTTGAAAGTCTGACCTACTATCTTTTGAGAAAACAGGGTAGACTCATTTACAGACCAATGGGAAGGAGGTCTAATAAGGAAACAGAGCTGACTCCTCTCACGGAGTTCTGCAAATTCTGGACTCAGGTACCTGAAGTCTGATGAATTTATATAATTGCATCTTAATGGAACAGCAAACTGTAGCCCACGGCTCCCATTACATCAGGGCTACTCTGTCTCTTCAGCTTTCTAATTCTCATAGCATTAACTATAACAACGTAGTGTTAAAAAGAATTTGGTCCAGACCTCTGGTTTATGGGGAGAAGCATGGGATACTGGTGAAGAGAAAGAATTGCCTGGAAAGACGAAAATGGACGCAATCACTGTAAATACAGGTTACTGAATGACCAGAATGGGGTACTTCCTGAGTAAGTCTAGAGGGCCCACACACCCTCCGAAACTCTAGGGACAGCTGTGCGTTTATGCATGCGCATTTTTTCTGAGGAGAAACTCCAATGCTCCCATCAAATTATCAAAAGGGTCTGGGACATCCCAAAAAAGATTAAGTATTGAGATGAACACTTTGAAATATTATCGATATTAACACAATGAATTATGGAAACTAAAAACAAATCTCTAAGGTCTTTAATAAACATGCAACAACATACACATTCGAGGTCTGGCCCTTTACTGTCGTTTTCAATGCCTCTCTTCTGGAAGCATGCCAGGAGAATGTTACAATGGGAAAGTTGCCAGATAAAATATGTACCTGGAATCTTTTTTTCTTTTTTTGCTTAGGGCTACTTTTTTCTCTAGAACTTTCCGTTCTTTAAGGACTTCTTTAATTCTGGGGGCTTTAGGTTCCAAACTCTTTGTAGAGGATTCTTCTAAGTCCACACTAGTTTTGCCTAGGAAAGAAGCAATCAATAAACAAACTGTATTTCAGAACAGTTTTCTAAACAGTATAATATTTATTTATTTTTCATTAAGTTTTTCTAATCCCTGTAAAAATACAAAATGGCTTTAACACCCTTACGCTGTGCTGGAATGAAAATAATATTTTAGATGGAGAAGTCTTATCTTTTATTTCAAATGTTTATATACAAGTATGTATTTGTATATTACACAGGATCAGTATGCAGAGGAAGCGCAAGTTTGTTCAATGAAATATTGCAGAAACGTGTTTGACATTTTAGTTAACATAAAGCAGAGATTAATTCCATTAATATCACTAGCAAGGCTTGATTACTCACGAGTTAACAATCCATTCTGCAGTAATTCATTCCATAGCCACTGGAAAATAAACTGCTAACACGTGAGTTGTGTAAGCTGGTACCTGACTGTTTAATTGAGATACAGCAATACAAAAAAAACGTGACTTAACACATCAGATTAAAAAGGAAAGCTTCCACACCTGAAAATTGATCATTTAAAAAAAATACAACAGCTTTACTGAGATATAATTCAGATCATTTTACTTTATAATCCTATCTCATCAGTAACATAAACATCTAGAAAA